TCCCAGGCGTCCTAACCAGGAAGCGAACCGAGGATCTTCAGGCTGCGAGGCGACGGTGCAAAATGTTCTCCACGACTGTTTTTTCACCAAGCTAGAGATTTTTAAAATCAAGTGTTGTATATTAGCTAAAACAAGTGCAGTCAAGAATTAAATATGATTAACCTTCATCTGTTTCCATCATTGCGATCCGTGAAGCGTGTCTGTCTAAACACCCACATTACAACATCCATCTGATCATCAGATAGCAGGATTTGACTTATCCCTCATCTTTGCCTCCGCCGTGCCTCCTCCTGATGTATTCACTTGCCATCCCTACTCTTTAACATTTATATCTTCCTGACAGAGTCTCTTCTTCCCTCGGAGGAAATATGATCAATAGTATCTATTTCTCAGTCTGTTCTGCTATCCCTATATTATTCCATTCATTTCACCTTCCATCTTCCCCCCTATACTTCTTACACCTGTCTCCTCTCCATCCTGCCCTTCATTTCTTGCTCCCTCGTCTCTCTATCACTCCCTTCATCGCCTTGTCTAGATCCATCTCTCCATAGACAATCTGCCAGCTCTGTGCCCGCTGCAGCCCTCCCAGAGTGATCCCGTTAGAGGGCTAATGCTGTGAAAAATGACAGTGAACCGGCACTTTTACCGCCATCACCACCACTTTGGGGCCGCCTGCCGCCTACAGCCCTGTTGCCTGGCAACTCCCCAGACAGCTTTTCTCCAAAAGGCAAGAGCTCCTGTCTGCTCTGCTGCGATAGAGACCCAAGCCTAATAAGCATTATATCTCATTTTGTCTTATCATTTAGTTGTTAGTGACACAAGTTTGCTCGGAGCTGCGACTATGCAAAGAGCACTGATGCAGAATGTGTCTCTCATATTGAATGAATAAAATGATTTGCAAGAAGTGTGACTTCCTGGAGCATTGTTGTCGGAATAAGAGGTTGCTCAGCCGAAAACATAAATATACATAAATGACGAAGATGCAGATGATGCAGGAAAGCTGTTCGGCGGAAAATAGCTGAAGAGCTCTGACCCCATTGCAGAAACACACTGTGAACATATTACTAATGCGTGATACTGTTTTGTCTGTAGCTCAAAACAGAAATAAATTAATGTCTGACCTTTTTTTTTTTTTTCTGCTTGTCTACTTCAAAACAAGTTGATATCTGATGTCTTGTTGTTCCCTCAGATCTTTGCACTGAGTAATGGTACAGCCAAGAAGTGTGACAAATTAAAGGAACAATCTGAGAAATTGAGGGCAAAGACAAAACAAGCGCAGATGGTTCCACTCAGGACACAATAGATCACCGAAAGCTTTGATTCAGTAGAGCTCTAGAGACTTGTAGAACCTATGCCGAGGAGCATTGATTTGAATAGTTAAACCCGTATTCCCCAAAACACATCGGTAGGTTTGAAAGAGATGCTGGTTAAAGCAGTAAATTGCATCATTTGTGTGCCAAAAAACTGTAGATACAAGAAGAATGGTCAACTTAACAGGCCATTCTGGTTTTAAAAACAATTCCAAAATCTGAGCATGAAATTGTGACATGTTGCCAAAATCACTTCATATTAACATGTCATATTTAAAAATGTGCTTTTCTTCTTTTTTTTTTTTTTCTTTAACCAGATTCAGTTAAAAGCTAATTAAAAAAAAAAAAAGAAGCTGTGCTCCTTTGCGTAATTCATTTAATTTATTAGGATCCCCATTAGCACCAGCATAACCGTTGGCTATTCTTTCTGGGGTCTGCACACATACACACAGTCACACTTCTACACACAATAACCACAAACACAACAAACATAGGTGTAATAATGAAGCCACCTGGGGATTGGTGACTGCTCTGACCAACAGACATGTGACAAAAATTCAGGGACGTTTCACTTGAACTGGGCTGAACTGCAGGTTGTGTTTGTACTGAGCAGATAGGAGACAAGTGTGGAGTAGTACAGTATCAACAGTATGTAGAGTCACCTTTTTTGTAGTGTTGCTACCACTTATAGACACTTGGACAATTATTCCAGTTTCACATCCATCCATCCATTATCTATACACCGCTTAATCCTCACTAGGGTTTTTTTTTTTTTTTACATCTATTCTGATAATTATCCCACAAATGAACTGGTCAAAATACATACATGATAAGAAATGTATGATTTAATCTTTATATCTCACATAAAGCTTCTTGTAACTACCAAATATGTTCCGGTATTTCATAATCTGGACAGCTCTAACTGTGCTAGATGAACTCTGCAAGACTTTATATTGCAGTGAAAAATGACACCAACAAAACACCCAGATGCTGTGTGGGGTTCAGAGAGTTATTTTGTCTTAAGTTGTCTTAAGTTATTTTTTTTCTGACATGGAATATGGAACATTCCACCTGGTAAAACAATAGGCATTTGTCTTTTAAACATGGGTGTCCATTATATAAAGGTTGTTTAAAGCTTTATTTAGTCATTACAGGATGCTTATGAAAAGAGCCTTGTTGCTTGTCGGGGTATATCTAAAGGTTGGCATCTGAAAAACAAGAAGGAGCAGTGAAAAGTTATGATATCAAAACTTATTTGGCACTCGAATCACAGAATCACAGACATGAAAATCATCTTTATTAATTCATTTGAAGGCATTCTTTTCAGACATATTGAAAGTACAACAGAAGTGTTCCAAGGTTTGACCTAGTGTTACAAAAAGTCATCACTGCCTTTAGGAAACAGATAAGACCAGCAATATTATGTATTTCACTTTTTTTTTTAAAAGTCTTATTTTATGTCTCCGGTGGCTGGAAGGCAGAAGGAATAGTCTTGAACTTCATCCTCCACACTACACCATAATTAGTACAATCCAAAAGGACGAGCAGCTTGCAGAAGAATTGTTTTATTATTTACAGAGAATGTAAAACTATATCGCTTCTCGTGGCCAGAGAAGAATCCTGCAGCCTGCTGTTGCTCACAGACTCAGCCAAACCAGGACATCTCATGCATAACAGATGGATAGATTTTCTCATGTTCAGTCCCAACACATTACTTTGGTTGAAAATAGGTTGGAAAATATTTTTTTCATGAAGAAGTTACCTTTGGCTGCACGCTGAAAATGCCATACTTGAGTTTTAGGATCCCTTTTCTGTACTGTGTCAACTAATTGTGGTTCCATGTGAAAAAAAATAGCTTGTCTGTGCGTCATCTCCTGCCCCACTTTCCTGTGTTTTTCCACCGCCTTGATGGCTTTTAAAGCCGAAACCCAGTTCTATCAGTCCTTCACCTAAAGCTAACAAGAATCCAAAACTCAAGTCCCAGAATATTCGCAGGTATGAGTGACATGAACCACGCGGTTGCCACGGGAACTCTCAAAAGAGGTTAGAAGAGTGCTTTGACAAAGTGTGTGAACTCAGTGCCACCGAAGCAGTCCTCATTCTTGAATGTGTTTCTGTTTTGAGACATCACAGGTTTTGAAGATGGTGAAAAAGTTCACATCTGAGTTGTGGGGTTTCCGTCTGCTTTTGCTGCTGTGGTGCCTTTTCCTGCAAACGGCATGTGATGTGTGACTGCGTACGTAATTCTGCGAGTTGACTGTTGGAAACAAGAGAAAACACAGTGGAAGCTGTATTTTCAAGGTACAGACATGGGAATTAAAGCTAGAAAACTGTACTACAATAGAACTCATCAAGGGTATCCAGAAATTGTACGGTTTGGGCCAATTTTTTTGTTCATCTCTTTTGGGTAAATCGTTGCAGCTCTTTAAGAACCAATTTCCCATTTAAAGTGATCATTCTATACAAGAAGCGCTAATGTAAATCCATCAAGGTCGTAGAGGAAAGCCTGAATAGCTGTAATCTCCATTAATGTGAGCTGAATGGAGAATATGCAGGTCAGAATGACTTGTGAAAGAGGTATTTTACAGCACCTGGAGGGATGTGTGTGTGTGTGTAGGTGTGTATTTATCAATGGTGGAGAGCACTCACATGAGCGTATTAAACAGTACACAGTCGGTGTACTATATCTGAGGACGAGAACAAAGAAATCCTCTCTTCATCTTTTATCATCTTTTTTTTTCTTCCTGTCTTAAAAGGATTTGATTATCAGCTGAATTTCAGTAAATGAAGCGCTATACTGCACACACACATACCCCTCACACGCCATCTGCTGAGACGTTAGACATGCCTTATTGTAAATACGCCCGAAGACACACACAAACACACGCCTAGAGACCAGCGCGGCATCCTGCCTAGCCTCGCCCCAGGTGTCTCACGGTTAATATATTGGTGTGGCCTTAGATGAATCCGCGAAGGCCAAACTAATACTCTTTATTCAAGGCTTTTTGAAGCTCTTCCCAGCAGAGAGAGCGTGGAACAAGAAGAAGAAAAAAAAAAAAAGAGCGTTGACGTGTTTCAGCGTATTAATATCCACCACAGGTGCTAATTTGCCCTGCAAGTCACCTGTGTCATGAGCTGTGATGGAATGAAAGGAAAGCTAAAAAAGACAAGAGAGGCTGGAGCAGGATGGAGAGATAGCGTGACGGAGCCCGAGAGAGTGAGGAACAAGGAAGAAAGGAGGAGGTGTAAATCACATTAATGAATAAGCTTCATTAGTCGTGCCCATTAGCATCCTAAGCACAGATTAACTTAACTTCAGCTGACTTTGGTGAGGCCCAGTGGCCATGATGGGAAACAGTTTCATGACACACCTGGATGTCTGATCGCTGACAACCTTCATTTAGGGTAGCAGTGGACAGTCTGTTTGACCTTTGTGCCTGAATGAGAAAAAAAAAATGTCATGTGGAAACAGTTACTGAGGATTTAGTTCTTCTTCAGCTTGCTTACTCATTTTCACTGTTGGTTTTTTTTCCCTCCTGCCTATTTCACTGCAACTGTAAAATTTGGCACTATGCTTGATATTATTTGTTCATCTGTCTAATTTGTTCCTTTTTCTCTCAAAACAATTAAAGCACTTTTGTGTGTTTGTACTTAAATCTCTTCCTGTCTGTTTGTTTGTGTTGTCAACAGGCAGATCCCCAAGGCCGAGACATCGCCATCCGTCCCTTCTTGGAGCACTGTGAGAACACCCACATGACCATTTGGCTGGGCATCGTCTATGCCTACAAGGGACTGCTAATGGTGAGAGGAGAGAACACAAAATCTCATCGTGCAGTCACAGTCTGGACACACACATAAATGCACACTTACAATCCGTACTATATGAATGTAGTGCACAAAGGGATCTGCTGATGCCAACCGTGTTGTGTCTCACATGTCCCCACAGTGTGCGTTTCAGTTTTTCAGTTTAAAATACATGGTTCATTTAACCATGACTGTATAAACCCTTGTGTTACTGCTGCTCTAAATGGACTGTTTTTGCTCTGAAAAGCAATGAGCTGCTGCAGTTCCCGCCCCCCTCAGGAAGAACACGCTGTCTGCATCTGTGATTGACAGCTGCGGCTGTCAATCACAGATGCAGACGGCATCGGCGCCCATGTTCCCCCTGGTGCAACAACTCTAAGTTGCCAAAGCTGGAAATTTTCAACTGGGACATTTAAGTACTTTAGTTTATCACAGTCAAGGCTGACATGGTCACTGGAGCAGAAATGGATCTTTTGGTTATTTGAGGTGATGTTTAAAAAAATAAAAAATGTGAACGAGAAAAATGGAACAAGAGATAAATCCACATAACCACTTATTCACTCTCTTGCCAAGAGATAGATGAGAAGATGGACTCAAAATGTATATTTATATCCATAATCTGACTGTACGTTACATGCTTTATCCATCCATCCATCCATTTTCTATACACCGCTTAATCCTCACTAGGGTCGCAGGGCGGCTGGAGCCTATCCCAGCCGACTTAGGGCGAAGGCAGGGGACACCCTGGACAGGTCACCAGTCCATACATGCTTTATAATTAGAGTTAATTAAAAACTCCTTGAAAACACACCTTTAACTGGGAAAGAGGAACAAACCTCAGGAAGAGCAGCAGAGGTTCGGTCTTCCAGGATTGATCGACATGCAACAGGTGTCTTTTGTGGGTCTTATAATAATAAGATTTAAAAAAATAATAATAATAATTGAATTATGAGAGAAATACTAAAAATAAATGAGGAACAAGGATCTGAGAATCTCCATGGAACACAAAAAAGAGCAAGAGCAATTGCATGAGTCAGTGTATTTCCTAAAATGTCAAACTGTTTAAGTTGTGGTGATTCCAGTTTAGTCCTATGGCTTGACTGTCTCTTGCACTGACTCTAATTAATTTAATGCAGATAGACATTAAAAAAAAAAAAAGACCATCGTGCTTTTTTCAGTTCAATCATCCATTTTCTGGTGCTTATCTGGGGCCGTGTCATGGGGGCAGCAGACTAAGCAGGACATTCCAGAAGGCCTTTTCCCTAACAACATAATCCATCTGGCAAGTTCTGGGTCTACCCTGGGATATGCCTGGAATACCTCCAGAGAAAGGCATCCTAATCAGATGCCTGAACCACCTAAGCTGGCGCCTTTTGACACGAAGAAGCAACGACTTCACTCTAAGCTCCCTCTGGATGCTCCTAAATCTATCTGTAAGGCTGAGTCCAGAGGAAGCGTTTGGAGGAAGCTTGTATCTGATTGTTTTGGTCATGACTCAGAGCTCATTAGCATAGGTGAGGGTTGGAAAGTAGACCAACTGGTAAATTGACAACTTTGCCTGTTGGCTTACAGTACTGCTGATGCTGCCTCCGTCCATCTGTCCGTCTAACGCTCCATTTTCCCATCACTGGTGAACAAGATCCAGAGATACTTAAACTCCTTGGCTTGGGGCAGCAACTTACCCCCCCAACCCAGAGGGAACAATCCATTGGTGCCCTGCAGAGAACCATGATCTCAGACTTGTAGATGCTGACTCTCATCACGACTGACTCTGAGGCTCCCAAACCGCTTCGCCTTGAGATCCTGGCAATGAATATCACAAACAGGATAGGAGACAAAGGGAAACCTTGTCCAGCACCCACCGGAAACGTGTTTGACTTTGTGCCGAAATACGAGCACAGCTGTCGCTTTGGTTGTGCAAGGACGAGATGGCTCATAACAACGGCCCTGGTACTCCCGAAGTACAACAAAACACATGTGGACTTGATGGTCGAACTGGTGTGATACCCTCAGCAGATCTGATCCACTGTTTCACTGCAAGGACAGTCGTGTTTTTTTTAAGGTTCTTTTTAGCTTTTATTCAGTAGTGTTGTGAAAAAAGACCAGGTAGAGAGAGGAAGGGACTGGCATGCAACAGATGGTCCAGCCTGCTGGGAATCGAACCAGGGATTAGCCTCTCGTGGCATATATGCCCATATGGTATCCATCCCAACCACTCAGCTATCGGGTCCCTCTGACTATAACGACTTTAACAGACTTCTAAGCATCATTATAGAGAATAGCAACACTTCCCCCTTTATAGATGGGTCATACTGTCGACTAAACGGCTGCGTTCGCTGATTTCATTTGAATAATGTTTACTATTCCGAGCTCATCAGCAGAGTACAGTTGATACTGCAGGCAAACACTGAATATTTACTTATTTGTACATTATCATTGTTAATCTTGTGTGTTTTAAAGCCGCCATGTAGCAGGAGCAACTGTACATTACGTAAAACTCAACGTATATTTATAGCGAAGCAATCAGACAGAGCAGAACATCGTCTTAAGCGAGCGGAAAAAACACGGATGATGCTGAGTGGAAAAAAATAAATAAAATAATGCTACCGAGAAAAAGTGAAATAACAGAGATGGAAGAAGTGGGAAGTTGGTTGAGGAATAAGTCAAAGCTTTGATGTGAAGCGATAAGATGGGAACAAAGAAAGTGTAGCGGTAGATAAAGTTTGAATGAAGTGATTGACAGGAGCCCACATCTTTATGAGGCATAGAGGGACAACACAGCAAGAAAACAGATTTAAGGCTTGAGTCATCTCTGCTTTTATGCTCACACACACACACACACACACACACACACGCTTACATATAAATAAATACTCGCACATTTCGCCCTTCCTCACGTCCACATGCTCACACACCTGAGATGCACTAAGCCTTCATGACTGCTCTTTTAATTCTTCTGCTTGTCATTCCACAAACTCTCATTTAGACTTTGACTAAGTAGGCATGCCACCTTACCCAGCACACAGTGAATGATTCAGGAGACTGCTGCTGCAACTCTAATGTTCCACCAAACCAACAATTCACTCTTACTGCATAAAACTGGCTCTCCTTTAGATATCCGTCCCCCCCTCTTTATAATGAAGTTTACTTTTATTTGCTTCGTTTCTTAAAGCTAAGTGAAAGTAAATGTCTTCACAACCTCCATTTTATTAGTATTTAGCATTAAACGATGAAAAAAACACCCATTTAATAAGTCATCCTGCTTTATTCTGAGCAAATCAGAGCAAAAATAAGCAGAATTCACATGCAGAAGCAAGTTCAGATTTTCTATAACCAGAGTTAAATATTGCTTTCAGATCTTCTGTAGTCTTCTCTCAGGTGTCTTCTAAACCTTTGTTTTGCTCCTTCTCTTTTGCCCTGACAGTTGTTTGGCTGTTTCCTGGCGTGGGAGACCAGGAACGTGAGCATCCCTGCCCTCAATGACAGCAAATACATCGGGATGAGCGTGTACAACGTTGGAATCATGTGCATCATCGGTGCCGCGGTGTCTTTCCTGACCAGGGACCAGCCCAATGTCCAGTTCTGCATTGTAGCCCTGGTGATCATCTTCTGTAGCACCATCACACTCTGTCTAGTCTTCGTTCCCAAGGTTAGTATAAGTGTGAACAAGGGGATAGAGTGTATGTGGGTGCATGTGGATGACTCTGTATTGATATAAAGCAGAGTGTTTGATTATCGCTGCGTTCACTCACCCACCTCGCTAAGTCCTGCAAGCTAAAAACGCAGCAGTTTGTTTTTTTTACCCTAATGAAATTTGAACCCATCTTCCAGTTCATCACCATGAGAACGAATCCAGACGCAGCCACCCAGAACCGCAGGTTAAAGTTTACCCAGAACCAAAAGAAAGAAGACTCCAAGACGTCCACCTCGGTCACCAGCGTCAACCAGGCCAACACTTCTCGACTGGACGGGCTTCAAACCGACAACCACCGCCTCCGCATGAGGATAACAGAGGTCTGAGCCGCCCACTTTGAACCATTGATCATCATGTTACAAGTCAGGATGGCAGTGCAGCTTTAAACTAGAGGTCCAGTAACTGAGCACTGGTTCAATAAGAGAAGTAAGACGAGACAGCAACGTATTACACTTCCAGAGATTGTGTTGTCACCAAGAGGGGCTTTGTGCCACGCTGTACATTCCCTCCGATGCATTTTAGAAAAATGCTCACTTACACTGACATTGAGTGACATTTGAAAAAATCCCTCAGCAATCACCTTGGCTTTCCATCAGATGCCTCAGAGATGAATTGCTGCTGTCGCCCTTGCTTTTGCTCATGATTGTGGAAAATAAGGAGCCTTTTCAGATACATTTTGAAGGATAATTTGTTCTGTCTTTGGCAGGCAGGAGTCCTTTTTATTCTTTACTGTGTTTGGAAATGTAAAGGAGCATTTGCAGCAGTTTGTTTTAAAGACATCAAACGCCGACGATGGGTAACTTGTCCGCTGATAACCTTACGTTTTTGAGTCGTAATGCGCTGATGCCATCTGTTTGTTCTTTTGTCTTAAAAGTTGGACAAGGAGCTGGAAGAAGTGACCATGCAGCTGCAGGACACTCCAGAGAAAACTCCGTACATCAAACAGAACCATTACCCGGACGCCAATAACATCCTCAGCATACGCAACTTCACAGATGGCAAAGGTGAGAAGCTGGATTTATGTTTTCATGCAACCAGCCACAGTCCTGTTGGTGGGAGGGAGCCGACCCATTTGAGCCATTCATCAATATGTGACCAAAGAAATTCCACACACTGAGGTCCATCGATAGGTGGCTGGTGGTGGCTTCCTTATCTAAAAAATGCATCTAAGAGATAGGATTTTGGGGTAAAAAACCCCAGTACCTCATTGAATAGGGGCTAAAAGTCCCCCGATGCAGGAGTCAAGTCCAACCCGTGGCAGGATTTGCTGTGTGTTGTTCTTGGCCTTTCCTATCTCTTCAACTATTCTGCAAAAAGACAGACTCAAATGCCCACCATCGAAATAAATCTAAATAAATTGCACAAAGCACTAACTGCTTCTCAAGGGTTTTTACTTATCCGGAAAATACTGAAGGTAAAGCTTACTCATAGCGGCCTGTAAGAGGTTTTGGTGATTTGAAGTAACATAACTAAATCCAATTAAACAATTATTTCCTTGAGTGCTGCACTTACGAAACTATATCGCAGCAATCTAAAATTAGACCTCTTGATGAATATATTTAATTAATCCAACTAATGTGCATGAAAATACCTGAACGGAACAGCATTGATGATTTAATGCACCTACCGATGTAATGTAATTTAGTCATCAGCGTACATGCAGCACTGTTTGCCACTTTAGCACCGTTCCTTTGGGTGCTATTGATCTGTTTGACTTCAGTACATTGCAGTGGTTTACATCCAGAGCAGGCAATGGTAAAAATCACAGCTAATCCTCCAGTAACGTTGTCTAATAATAATAATAATTCTTGACTACCTGTACACTGTGTGTGCATATTCAGTAACGGATTTTAATGCTGCTTTCAGAGAAGGAATATCTTTTTCAGTGCGCCTGTCAGCTGCAGGTGAAGAAGGGACACAGGAGCGCTTGTGACGTCTATAATGAGTCATGAGATTAGCTACAGCACCGGAATACTTCACTGCTGCTCGGCAAGTTGTGCGCAAATTGCACGCTTTACCAGCTTTATTATCAAAACCCAGAGGGGGGTCCGCACTCGATTTTATACCTGATTATTTAGTGTGTTGTTTGCTGTCTCTTGAGGAACATACTTGAGAAACAGTAGAGACAAGAAGAACAGAAGGTTAGGGAGGAGTTAAGGTGAATCATCACGGGGGGGGAGAGGAGCATATGGAAACACAAGGAGTTAGTTATCAAGTGCTGGAATGTAAAGCTGCATGAGAGATCCTTTGTCTGTTTACACTCCCAAGTTCTACCCAGTACATGCTGTTTAAACTGATGCAGCTGTATCTTACAAAGACGGGTGCCTCAGATTGAATCGGTGAATCGTCGCGGCCCGGCTTTAGGCCTCGTTTTAACGGAGCGACGTACAGCAGCCATGTCTCTCACGCCAGCACAAAGCTGCTCTCGGGGGGTGTCTAATGGATCTGAGTTTGGGAAGGTAAAAAAAAAAAAAAAAAAGAGCAAAACAGCTGCGCTCGTTCTGCGGATTGGGAGCAGGGCGTGTTGGAATTGTTTGAGAAGTTCCTCATCTGTGAAAGTTCACGGTTACGCAATGAACTGACGGCAGTTAATGAGTACATTCACGGAGGAACGTGTCTAATGCTTCTTTGTGTTTTCGCTCGTTTCCCTGCTTCTCAGCCTCTCTCATCTTTTTTTTTTTTTTTTTTGCATATGTGCGCACATAAGCAGACACACAACCCTCCTGTTTCAGCTCTAAATATTGTCTGGCTTTAAAATGATATCAGAGGATCGGTTGATATCGTGTTTATCGGTGCCAATGCAAGGAGAGATTTGATATAAAATTTTTTATTTTTTTTTTAGGGAACACAGAGAGTGAGAAGTCAGTGCCAGGACGATTTTAATTAGTAGATAATTAGCGAATGAGCCGCCATCTGTGAGATTTTTGACCTTCCTTTTATATTTATCCTTTAAGGAATCCCAAACAGAAGACTGCATCGGATTGTGTTAGTCATTAGATGTTTCAGTGGTTTGAAAATATTTACAAGGTACGCTATGTAACCGCTGTGGCTCAGTTGGAGGTTTTCTTTTAATGATATTTCCAGTGTAGATCTCACACTGTATTTCTAAATAAATAAAAACAGAGGCATATTACCTGAAAGCAGTCGACTTAAACAAACACATTTTCCGTTCGCCGAGGAGAAATCTCTTTAAAACACTGGCAGCAGCTGGCAGCTGACATCGGGCTCTCTTTCGGGAACTAGAATTCAAATTGTGTGGGCTCATAGAAATAAATCTATTTTGGACTGAATCTTTGCATGTGTTCTCTCGGTTACGTTGTCAAGGGAGAACAGAGACAGATATAGTAAATATGTCTGAGGCTCCTCTGCATGAATATTCATTTGTAGAGAGATTTTTTTTTTTACAGAATGAGAGCAAGAATCAGTTTGATTATCACATTCAGTCATAACATAACTGCCTGCTACCTCTTTGAGTTGTATTGGGGAATTAGTTGTTTAAATGTTGTTGTTTTTTTCTCATATATCTACCCCAATAGCAAAAAAGGAAAAAGACTCTATTAGTCCTTTCAACAAGTGAATATTCCTACTTAAATGCTCCTTTATGACACCCAGTCTGCATATTGAGCTCATTTTTTAGCCAAACTCATTTAAATATTCCTTTTTAAAAGACATACAGAGAAAAATGAAGCAGTCTTTTTGTTGTTTAACTGTTCATGGCGATGATTTCTAAAGGAGAAAAAGAAGGTTCAGACAAAGAGAGGCTGCACATTAGGTGCACGCTTTCTGGCAATAAAATCACAGGTCATTAAGGCTCCTTTAAAGATCACCGGCATATAAACTTTTCCCGGCCTCGGTCTGCTTATGCGTGACAGTCATCATCACCGGCTCCTAACTATAGTCATCAGTATTCATAAGAGAGCTGGTCTAAATGTATTGCGGGCTGTGAATGAGTGGCTGTTATAAGAGAAGAACGCTGTGTCAACAGCGATTACGCTCACTCACAAAGGGTGAGAAGCAACACTCCACCTCTCTCTGCCTCTCGCTCTCCCTGCCTGTCTTCATGAATATGTACAAACACATGGCGATGCACCGACGGATGACAGTTAAGGTGTGGTTGTTTGACAGATTGGCAGCTATGGCCTGAATTTACCCTGCTGAGGTTAGAGTTTGACAGGACTGTAAGCATTTCATATCATATTTATAAGTGTGGTGCATTTGACACAAAGTCACGTAAAACCCATAACGACAAACCTTTTGGACTATTTGTTATTGTTAGGGCTGGAAGTGCCAATTATTTTTTAGTCCTCATTTAACTTTTTTTTTTTTT